TTTTTTAAAGGGGGGGGGGGCCGAGGGCGAGGGGGGGCCCAAAAAAAAGGGGGGGGAAAGGGCCGGGGGGGGGGGGAGCAAAAAAAAAATAGTCCCATAAATTTTTTAATCTTACATTTTTATCAAAATTTGTGTCTTCTGTTATTGAATTATTTTTATAAAAATAAAAACTTAGTTAAAATAATCAAATTAATTTTTTCTGATTGGCTGCCAGTCAAATTCATCAAGCTGTTTTGCTTGCAAAGCAAAAAATTGAAAAGTTTCTAATGAGAAAAAGATCAAAGGAGCCGTCCAGGCTTACAAGCTTCCCTCAGAAATCCCTTTCAAAAATCACCCATAGATAATTCACTTTAACTACATGGTTTTGATTTTTAGCAAGTTTCGAAAATAAAACAGTGAACTTGTTGGAAGTTAATTCCAGCGACTGGAATCCAGAATTAGCTATAAATATGACGTCTTAATTCACCGAAAGTTTGGTTTTGTCTAAACAAAACAAATGTTTGCTGCCAATGCAGCAAACATTTGTTGCCGCATGTTCAGCTTCACAGCAGCCATACGTTTCCAAGTTAACATGTCAGCTTTTGTAAGGTGCACAGCAAATTCTGAGGGAGTGTTGATGTATTCATTAACAGCTGCTCATTATGCACATCCTTATAAATTAGATGCTTGAGAACATCTTTTATTTACAGTCAGCCTCAAAGCCAGCTTCAGTCAGTCACTTAGTGGAAACAGCAGGGTTATTAGCTCAGTACAGCATAAAACATCCATTTTTATCTCTGTCAGTCAAACTCTGTTCTATTTAACAATATAAACTAGAGCTAATATAGGCATTGCAGCAGTTTACTTTTCTCTCCTGTTCAGCAGTGTGGCGGATCTAGTTAAAAAAGCTGCAACAACTTTGCTGCAATTCAAAAAGCAGTTTATCCACCCAAAATGTTTTGTCTGCAAAATCTAGAAAGATATCACCCAATGGTCAGAATATGATGTGGTTAAAATCTTCCTGTTAGTTTCATTGCATGAATAAATTCTCATTTGTCCCGCTTTGACATCTTTATAAAAGTCCAATAAAACACACAGAGCTTACGTAAGCTGTTGTCAAATGAAAATTTCTATCTCATGTAACTGGGCCTTTTTAACATAGCCCTGCCTGTTAAAGAGAACACTCTCATTGCTTATAAATGTCACCAGTTAACAATAGTTATCACCTCTGTAGGAAAGCTGTCAGCGCTTACAAATTACATAAGGCTCTGTGACATTTTCATTATCTTTTATGGAGCCTGGCTCTAAATGAAGACTCTTCAAATTGGTG